GTCTTACTTCTTCTTTGCCAGTGTGGATGCCTTTGATTGTTGTTGTTGTTGTCTAAGCACTCTGGCTAAGACTTCTCGTACACTATCAAGTAAGAATGGTGAGACAGGCTGGCTCTGGTTCACCTGGGGGACGGCTTCGTTTCCTCCCCTTAAACGAGAGGTTGGCCGTTCGCTTTGTGTCTATGCCCTTGAACTACTTTCAAAACAAGTGGACAGCTGCAGATTGCACTGTGGGCTTTCTGTCTTCTATTTCTGGCCAACACCTTTCAACGTGCAGAGAGGAAATAAAAAAAACCTGGGGTGAGTACACAGAGGCCCTTTTGGAATCATTTATCTGGTTCATGTCTTTTGAAGCTTTGCTACGAGGTGCATAGAGATTTAAGAACGTTAGGTCCTCTTGGTACCTTGTTCTGAAGTCTCCCTTGTCTGGCATTAGTACAGGACCCCCAGATTTGTTTGTGGTTAGCATTTACATGGCTTGCAATCAGGAAAGGTGTGCATCAGGGGTGTATCCTCCCACCTTGCTTACTCACGCTGTGTGCTGAACAAATCGTCTGAGAAGCCGGACTCCTCGAGGGAGAACGTGGCGTCAGGGTCGGAGGAAGGCGCATTAACAGGTGACGCACCTTGCCTGCTGAAAGTGAAGAGGACTCGAAGCGCTTGCTGATGGAGATCAGAGACTCCGGCCTTCAAACACTTGCACCACAGCATTCAGAAAACAAGAATCCTAGAACTGGACCAGTGAACGCCATCGTGGAAAGTGGAGAAAGGACTTAAATTGTCAAGGATTTCATTTTCCTTCGCTCCACAATCAGTGCCCCTGGAAGCAGCCGTCCGGAAATCAGACGACATATTGCATCGAGCAAATCTGCCACCAGAGGCCTCTGAAGAGTTAACAGTCCAAGATGCCGTTTTAAAGACAAAGGAGCACCTGACCTGAGCCGTGGCATTTTTGAATTTCCTATGTCTGCGGAAGCTGGACAGTGAATAAGGAAGACAAAAGAATCTTTGATGCCTTTGAACGATGGTGTGACTTATGCCCTGGGTGCATTCAGAAGAATGCACAAATCTGTGTTGGAAGAGCGCTCCTTAGAAGCCAGGGTGGCAAGGTGTCATTGCCCGAACGTTGGGCATGTC